AGCCACAACAAAAACCCTGTTCTTTCTTCTGTTATCAAAATAGTCACAAGAAGATGACATGCTCACTATGCTATGTGTGCATGTACTTTCATTTACTTAGACTATTTTCTGATTGTTTTAGGTTTCATAGATTTGGTGAGGTTTCAATAAGTTTGATTTAGTCTGGCTTTTAGGTGACTAGCAAAATCACTACCAATTCACTCTGTATATTGAACACTGGAGCTGAAAATCGGGTGGTGTTAATTAGGTGTAATTGGTTACGGAGATGGCTCAGAATTCTGAACATTTTATTAGTCCATTAGCAAATGTAGATTGCTGGGGCAATCAATCCTTAGGACTAAGATATTCTTAAATTATTTAGTTACTTGTACCAATTAAAATATATAATCGAATTATGTGTACAAGACGTGTGAAATACATTCATGAATTATGCAGCCAATTAATGAGGTGTATTTTCTAACAGAAGGGATGGGTAATAACAAACTGTCACAAAGCACACATCAAACCAAAATGGATCTCTTTTCCATTTCTGTAAATACTTGGAATATACATGAGAGCTTCCGATGTAGTATACTTCTTATTGCATATTCATATACTCTACATACTGCATGAGATTCATAGTGCCTTGTCTCTGGCTTTTGTAATGCACATCACCTTCAAACCACTTTAGAAATATTTCAGTCAGATTTATAATTGTACCATATAACATGATAGGAATACAAGCTTTCATTCCTTTTCCTCAAAGGAGGGAACATAACACATTAATGTGAAACACTGAAAATTTTAATTTCTTTCTTCTGGATAGATAGGAGAGAGAGAGAGAGAGAGAGAGAAACTTTTGGCACTGACCTAATTTTTGTTTCATGCTTACCCCATTCCACAGCCAAAGCTGACTTGTAAATTCCATTTGTGCTCTGGTCATATACCCAGAGGTATATACCTTTTCCCATGCACCCTACAATGCAGAGTCCACATGACTTTTTTTTTTTATACCCATCACCTACTGAATGCAAAACAATCATTTCTTGGACATGTAAACTTACACACCATAAATGCTCCCGTGAGTGGAGCTTGGACTGATGTAGTCTCAATGTAGCTACCTAAAAGCTAAATGTTATTCTCCCTTTGTTCTAGGGGCTTCTTTTCAGATAGATTCTTTCTCTATGAGAAAGGGCCCTCCAAAATGTAATTTACTACATCTATTTTAGGATGAAACCAAACACCTCATTGCCTCACAGCTACATCTGGGATAAATTTCATCTATTACAAGCAGTCAAACTTCCCAACTTGATCATTTACCTGTAAAAGGACATGAAATGGTGGTAATTAAGGACAGAACTCTATGGGTTGGTATTCTGTAATCATAGACACAATATGAAGACTATACTGGTGAAGCAAGTGAAAATTGGACAGTTAAAACAAATATACCAATATTATATGCATTCATTGAAACATTTTCCTATAACATATTGAAAATCAAATTGAGAGTAATTGTTCAACTGGTGTAATTAGTTAAACTTTCAGAACCTAAAGGTTATGTATATTCCTCAGCAGTGCACTTCACATCTTGTGGGTGGCTCACTACTATTTTTTTTTCTAAGTTAATTCAGTAACAACAAAGACTCCAATGCCTGTTTAGCAGAAGCAGCTGTGCTACAGAGACAGTGATTTCTGGTGCAGGGGTTGAACCCTGATGACAGGGCTCAGCAGGTCAGGGCCAGCCTCGGTAGGAAGGTGTGCAGAAAGGCAGAGCTTCACTCAGCTCTACCAGAGCTCTGCCACCTCAGGGCATGTCCCCAGCTTCCTGCAAACCTGGTCAGGTCTGGCTCTGTAGGTGATAGCAGTCTGCTTTTAAATCATGCAACTATGAGACTGTGGAAACAACTGCATTAAAATCAGAAGGACTAACTATACTAAGTAGGAAGTGGAAACTACAGAGGTCCACAGGCTCAGTGCCCATTTGTGAGAATCTCCCTCTTAATGGTCTTCATGTCATTCTTGAGATTTCTGGGTAGGTTATTTCTAACAGATATTTTCATGAAATCATACAATCACAGAACTGTTGATCAGTAGGCATGTCTAAAGTTCATCTAGTGCGGTCTCTCATTGGGGGACTATTGCTAACACCAGATCAGGCAGGTCATAGCTTCTACCAAACTCTTCAAAACTTCCAGTGATGTAGAATCTGCAGTCTCTCTGAGCTGTATGTTGCAGCACTACACCATCTTTCCAGTAAAACCTTTTTTGCCAATGTTCCACCTGAACTTCCTTGGCCATTGGCTTCCTTTTTGGCCATTACTCCTTCACGTACACTGCTTCTACATGGAAATTATTTGTTATCTGCCATCTTCGTAACTGCCCTTCAAGTAGCTATAGGCTTCTCTTTGGTCATCCCTTAATTTCTTCTTGTCTAGACTAAACAAACTCAGTTCTCTGAGGCTTCCTCATTCATGTGCTATTCATATTTAATAAAGTTAAACTTCATGGAAATTTAGCTATGGAAAATGGGAAAGAAACTGCATGCACTGACCTATGAAAGGCAAGTGTTATACTAACAAAAATGCACTGAATATACACTGTGTTATATATACAAATCTATAATTGAATATAATTTCTTTCACATCGTCCACTTATATTTAGAAACACGAAATTTATTTTAATCACGCTTGCAAAACTATAGTCCTGAAAATAACTACTACATGTGTTTTATGCAGGTCTGATTCTCCAAGGAGCAATGTCAAACCCAAGAGAAAATCTCATGGGTTTTAGATTTAAGGAGTCTCTTTAAAAATATATTCCCAAGTATATTTTGTAAAAATATATTCCCAAGTCTATTTTGTATACTAAAAAAATCTCCAGTTCCACCGGATACAAAGAGCCAAAGCATTACAGGGTGTAAATCACCATAGTATGAATAAGGCCAGCACAGTGGTCTATGTGAAATCTTTAGCTAATTCCATAGTATTTGTATAAATCAGTGAGCTTTACCTGGGAAACTTAAGACTGAATAGGAACTCAGGAGTTGAAACCCAGGGGCCATGATGAGAGCTGTGTAGCTATTGTTATATTTATGTAAATATAGAAAGCAGTCTAATAAATCTGGGGCTGAAGGAGAGCAACAGTTCTTTCTTTTAACATTTCACCGCTGAGATCCAATTCAAATGCTGGCTTAATTAATCACTTAGGAACAGAAATATCTTTGTGAAGAAAAAGAAATGAACTCATGAACCCAAAATGCTAAAGCATCATCTCTCAGCGATTTTCACAAAATATGAACTTACCCTGCAGACCGAATTTTACATTATTTTATTTCTACAGCCTGGTCTGAAAATGTCAGTTTCCATTAAAGCCTTTGGGATTTAAGCTCATTTAACCAATGCAACATGAACATCAGATTTCCATCTGCTTAGAACGATTCCTTCAGTCTGCAATACAGGCATGGATTCTCACTGCTTAATATTACCTTAAGTAGTATAGTGAACATTCATGAGCTGGCAGCTAGGCCAGGATTGGCTTAGTTTAGGATGAGAGTTTTGACTGTTTTGACTGAGAGCCCTAGTTCCTGACTGCTCATTGAAAAAAGCTATTAATTTGATTAATTGATTGATTGATTGTTTATAAAGAAAATTTAAAAGAGAGTATGCTGTTTTCTCTCTTGGTTTACCTCTACTTTGTAGCATTAAGTAGATACAGTCCAAAATAAAATGTAATCCCAGCTTTGGGAGAATTACTCAGAAGGAACTTTTCTGTTTTCTTGGGACTCAAGTGACCTCCCCCTAGAACAAAGATGAATGGGAAGCAAAGAAATTTAAAAGAGGTTTCTCCTGAGTTTTCTTTACAATTCAAGCTCCTATACCACCCATTGATCCAGGATTGGGATTGGGAGTTTTATTTCAAGCTCTGTCTATGGCTCAAAAGCTTTTTCAGTAAATCTTGGGGTCATTATTGATATATGAGTACAAAAATTCTATAGATTTATCAGTAAACTAATAAAGTCCAGGAAATTAACTGGGAAACATTAACACAATCTGTTTTGAGTTAAAAGGCTGAAGTCTGAATTTCAATTCCTAGTTAGTTACAGTGACAGATGTGATAACTTTGGAGCTGGAGTGCTTGCGTACTTAGCAAAGGGCCTTAATAAATTATCTTCTCTTTCACTTACATGTTTTGCACCAGTCGGGGTACCTCACAAAAGTTTTGCTTCTGCAGTCACTTGCTGAACATTATGTCCCCTCAAAAATGATACACAGTTTATTTTCTGTTAGATATCATTGCTAAATACAAGGCATAAAAATCAAGTTAGAATGAGACCGTTTCTATACGCCATCCCTTTCTTTCCATTTCTCAGTCACACAGTCCTTGCGTTACATATACATGTCTTCATCTGCATCTTTGCCCTCAGCAGTCAATAAACATCCTAAAGCTTGACGTTGCTTAGTCAGTTTGTCTAGTCTTAAACTGAGATAAATTATGGGATTACTAAGATATGGATCTGACAGTTAGTGTTAAAGAACCGTTCTTGCATTCCTATTTTTTAAAAAAACTAAATTTAGGTTTAGCATCTTTATAAATGATCTTTTGCATATTTCTTGTAACGGAAGTGTGTAATAAGGTGCCAGATGCACAAGACAGCTGTGAATGATTTTATAATAAGTGTGTGAATTAGTAATTTACTTTATTAGTTTTGGAATAATTTAATTATTGGAAAAATGAAATCTGACTATGTACGCTCAGATACATCCTATATTGCTGGAAACATGAACATTTTCTAGGATGAAGAAACAGAGATTTAAAACAGAGATCTAAATTATAAAGATGCATGAAATGCAAATTAATATGTTCTGTCATTTCCCGCAGCATCTCCTCTGCTGCAAACTCAGTAGAGACACTGGTCAGGTACCAGGATGGTGAAGTGCATGCATATTTACACAATATACACTCTTCAATGAAATTTTAAATTTTAATGTACAAGATGTGAATCACAACACGCTGAGTTTTACCTGCCAAGGCTTTGTAATCCACCAAGTCAAACATCACAATAGCTACTGCTGACCAAGTCACAATCAGAGCAACCACAAGAAGCCATGCTGCTGGTGAGCTGAACGTTGTCACAAGGTCTTCTGTAACCGATTTCTTGCCCACTTTCATCGATGTCGTAGGAAGAGATCCGTTCTTACCATCTACAATTGTTGTTGTAGTAGACATACGTCCTAGACAAATATTAAAAGTAAAGGAAACAGAATGATGGAGCCTACAAATACTAATATGAGTGTTGTTTTAAAATTCTTATGTACTCAAAATGTTTACATTCATACATGGATGAAAATATCTCAATATTAAAGACAATTTCTTGAGCTTTCCAGAAGAAAATATATATATATATATTTTCTGAAATAGGGACACAATTAATAAAGTTGATTTGGGAGCAAACACAGTGAAATAGCCAGGACTTGCTTTTTTGATTATTATATGGCATTTTTAGCCTGTCATGAATAGCTACAGACCTAGAAGAGTGATTGATGAAAATATAAAATATTATTACTCTCCAAAGGATTGCCTTTTTACGGGCTGTAGGCCAGATTCTCAGGTGATGTGATTAAGTGTATTTCCATTGCCTTTAATGGAGCTAACGTATTTACATCACTCAATATCTGCCTAAAATTCTGCTGTCAAGGACATATCGATAGCAAGGAGAATATTTATTCTCTATTTCCTCTAACAGAAACATAAATGATATATCTGTCCAGTATGATTATAACTTGTGAAGAAGCTTGTAGCTGATTTCTAAATATTTTTGTTTAGAACATTTTTCACTTAATGAAATAATTTCCTAATAAACAAGAGTTACAGTGCCAAGGCAGACTTAACTGTGCAAAATATAGATACTAGATACTAGAAAGGTGATAGGACAGGGGGTGTGTATGTTAACTAAGTAAGCAGTTGTCACACCTTAACTGTTTGTTGGACAGTTAACACTAGTAGTTTAATCTGCTCCCTCTTAGAGCACTAAGAACAGTTAATTCTGCACAAAATCAAAACTATGGTATCTGAAACCTGAAAATATTTGAAAATCAATCATATCATTTTCCCCATAACAGAAAGTGTTAATCTAAACAATCCTGGCTGGTGTTTGTTTTCTCGAAGATAGAAAAACAGTAAAAATATTCATAATTCCACAGTCAACAACAGTAGAAGATCATATTTCCTCAGTTTGTTTATGATATTTACTTCTAGCTTACTGTTAAAAAAATCAGATATCTTACATATGTTCCTGGTCTGCTTGAGTCCATCTGTACCAACTCTTACTAACAAATGATGAGTTCAAAGACGACCCTCCACCACATAAAGATTTGAACTTTCATGGAATCAAGTCATATCTCATTTGTTCAAACTGTTGCTTCTTACCCTCAGTTCACTCATGTTGTGTCACAACTGATACAATCTATAAAGCTAATAATTTCTTTACAATAATTGAGGTTTGGAAAGTGACAGAGCTGCACCACACAGCGACAAATAGATTTAGTTCCATTTTTCACACTGGAAATGACAAATATGACTACAGCTAATGTACAAGATGTTGAAGACTTTCAGATGTTTGACCTCACATGATATATATAGCTTCTATTGGAGAATCATTACTTGGATAGTCTTAAAGAAATTAATGCATATAGAGAAAGAATGAGATCTGTGGTACTACCTGTAAATATAAACAGTTATAGCTAAAAAAAAAAAAAAAAAGATAGAATAACAAGTCTTCCAATTCTCATGCTAAAGATGCTTGAGTTTGTTCGGTAATCTACATAAAGTGTTAACATTTTTCTCAAAAGATACTGAAACCTACTTTTTGTATCTCATACGTATCTGTAAATGCTGGGAATGATAGTGTTGGTATCAGACAGATGTGCCCTGATTGCTAATTATTAATTAGGAATTGATGTACCTATTGTTGACCATACCGATCAAACTGTAAGGTTTTCAATTTCAGACCCTTGATTATTCTGCATTTTTCATTTATAATGTTATGCATTGTCTGTATTTTCCTGATTTTCACTGTTTTTCCTGATTTTGGCACAAGCATCCTGACACTGATCAGTGTCTTGTTTTAAGACCTGGAAAGCTGCTTCTTTGAACAGCAAAACAAGCAGAACAAGACTGGCATATTACACATTTTTTGTTTCTTATATGAAAAATAGTTTTATTTGTAGATTTGTTCTGCTTGTGAATAATATCTATCTACTAAGATGTAATTTATTTACTTTCTTAAAAAAAAAAACATGAACTCACCGCTTCTAACTTTTGAATCAAACATTTCATGGCAGGAGGGAAAATCTGCAAGTGACAACTAGCAATAAAGATCAGCTTCCTGAGGTCAAATTTCAGATCAATAACATTTTGTTATCCTACTGTCATGCATACAAAGGGAAGTAATTTGTGCATGTAACAGGTCATAAATGACACATTATGCACTTTTTTTTTCCTTGGGGATATCAGTCGGGTTTTATGATAAATGGGAGAGAACAGAAAGGCATTGCCTCATTTTGACAAATGTGATTAGAATCGTAACATCTCTCCAATGATATACTAATGGCAGATATTTGCACAGTTATAACAAAAGCAATTAAAAGTGTCTGTGTATATATAAATATAGATATTATACATATGGATAATTACCATTCATAGGCTCATTCTGCTAGGAAAGTTGCTATGTAAAGGCAATTCCTTCCTGTTTAGTATATCCAGTTTTTCAAGCTCAGAGTTGTTTGTGCTTTGGTGAAAAAAATACTTTCCTACAACTTATCAATCTAAGCAACACTGCAGAGACAACACAACTGAAGTATGACAGAATTTTATCCATCATTTTTCATTCAGTGAAGTGGGAACAAACAGCTATGCACCCAAATTTGCCTACAAGTCAAGCTAAGAAACACTGATGGAGATTCTGAGTGCAGACACTTGCCAAAGAGTTTGAGTGCCAAGGAGTAAGTCCCTAGTGTTGTTATAGGTGCCTTACGATACCAAAGATATTTTTAACAGTACTATTGGATGCCATCTACAGAACAGTAGCTTCTGAATGGCTTAGAAGAGCCCCAATAGGATACCCTAAAACCCTGAAAACAGACTTTTGTTCATTCTTAGATGTACATGGCTACTAGCATGCAAAATGTCTGAAGGAATTTTTTTTAAAGACTCCTGAGAGAGAACAATGTTTCATGCCACATAGTACCATGAAGGACTCTATTGGCACAGTACAGAAAGAAGGGAGCTACATATGTCTCATATTATCCATCAATTCAGCAAAGCAGGGGACTTTGCCCTTCCTCAGTAAAGCGCCACAGTTGAGCAGAACCCTTGCCCAGGCACTCAGTGTTCAGCAAGGCAATTACACCAGTGTTCCAGTGTCCAGCAAGGCAATTAGAGGTAGGAGGCTTTGCACCTTTGAAATTGCCTTATGCAGCATACCAAATTTGGCTTTTGCAACTTTAATTTTTGCATTCAGCAACAAGTTGAAAATAGATTTCTGAACTTCTGCAGCATCCTTCCCACCCATATAACACACATTTTCCTATCATTAGACAGTTTTCACTGTACTGTCTTATGGTCAGCCAAAATCCAGGTCAGCTTTCTTTGTTATACTCAGAGAAACACTTCAGTGAATCAGGAGCAGAGTCACAAGCAGATCATATGTCCCTGCTTCGGGGGAGGCCACATCCGTCTGAGGGGTGGAGGGGGTGCAGCTGAAGGTCTAACAATTTCAGCCATCCAATTTTAATCCACCACCAAATGTCTGCTAAAACCTCCTGGCACTCTGGATCGTGATTGCTATTGATTTTCAATGAGATTAGGAAGTTAAAAAAGTTTTAGCGTTATATATTTCTATAGCGTGATGGTGTTATATATTTCTATAAAAAGATTACTTCAGAGATATATATCTCTGTCTCCACATGACGATTTCTCATGTGCACAGAACTACCCCAATGGGTCACAAATATCACCTTCATAGCAAAAGACTGAATTGCCAAATTCCAAATAGTTAAAGCTTTGTAAGTTCTTACAAATTCTCCAGCTTCAGAATTGTCACTGAGGATGCAATATGATTTTTCATAAGGTCTCACAAATATAAATAAATGTTGATGATTGGTAGCAAGGAGGAAAACACAGTGCCACTTTCGGGGTTCGTGGTGAGCATGCAGCGCTGGCAGCCTAGATCAAATACTCTTTATATTTGTAAGCTGAGCTTTTCATAAGGCATAATAAACATAGGAATCCATTGTTAAGAAGGGGCACTTGATTTTGCAGTTCAGTGGTTATTCCTCCCACTTTCCCCAAAAAAAAAAAAGAATAAATAAATAAACCAAACCATGCAGACTCATTCAAATGTAAAATAATAGTTTTCTGTATTTATGTTGTTTCATGGTTATTTTTTGTATTACAGCCTTCATCCTACAACCAGGCATTAAAAAAAAGAAAAGGCAGGAAAAATAATATGAAGATCCTTTTGGAGGCTAGGTGTATTAAAAGCAGTGGGCTAGTCATGCTGCTGGAAGAAAAAAAAAAAAAGATTGTTCCTTTTTAAATAATAATATTGTTGCTAGGGCAATTCAGTTGGGATGTGAGAAATCTCAGTGCAGTCTGCTCTAAATGAGAGAGCAGGTAGATTTTGACTTGTCTGTTCCACTTCCCAGAAAAACACTCCAATAAATAGAGTATTCCGGATTCAGGTCATTAATCATTCCTGTTCGACCTATTCCACTTCACTTGGAATATTTAAATACTAATTAAGGGAGCGGAAAAGAGAAAGCATGATTGTATAAATCAACACCATGTGGTAAGCTGAGGCTTGAGCCTTGGGCTTTAACTTGGTGACATTATCAATTCACCACTGTTGTGACCAGGTAGGCAGGCAGGTATCTCAGTGTATGGTAAGGAGTTTACCATAGGGAAAGGGGACAAGGGATTAGAAGCCTTCAGTGAAGGACTGCACAATGGATATATGATAATCTGCTGTGTTTCTCAGCCCCAGTGTATCACCTTTCCTCATTCCCAGACCTGATGCTCTCAAAATAACCACTCTTCTCAGTCCCAGGGGAAAATGCTTTCCACCAAAAAATATACTACCTATGCCCATGCCTGTGTCCAGCTGTTACACCTGACTACGGACTTTTCATTTCTCTCCTCTGGTTTCTGTACTCTTGTCTTATACAAGGGTAGA